TCTTTAGGAAAATGACGTCGATAATGAGAAACTATTGGAGATTATCGCGAAGTTTACCATTTACTACGCCAAAATATAATGGTATATTAATTATAGGAACGACGTTTTTATTAAATTATGTAATAATATACGCCCGTGTTTGACAGGTTATGCTATCGCTTCTCCGTCATTTGTAAGATATAATACCACAACTACCAGCGAGAAGACCGATAAAACTGAGACTCGTCGTATGTACAATTTATTTATTTAGTTTAATATTAATAAATTAAGCTATTGCAATGTGTCTAAATTTAGCAGAGGTTATTGATTTTTTTTCTTTAATTTTTGTTAGCAAAGAAAATAATTCTGAAATCTCCATATATATGTAAAGTATTTAACAAAATCATTAGTGTTTTCAAATATTTTCACAGCCACAGTACGGAAACCCAGTCATGTTGATGTTGACCGCCTGATAAACTTTGGTCGTTATATCAACGATTGTCTACCTAAATATATACAACAAGTACAGCTAACTACTGGTGACGAATTGGAATTGTTAATCGCTCCTGATGGCATCATCCCAACGTTTACATTTCTAAAAGATCATCATAATACACAGTTTGTTAATCTGGCAGATATTACTGCTCTAGATGTACCCAGTAGACAATGTAGATTTGAGGTAAATTTATTTTGTGTGTGTGTATGTGTGTATGTGTGTAAACCTGAGTATTTTACATTGACGTAGTTATAAATAGACAATAAGATTTTATTTATAAATAAACTATTATGCTATATTTATCATTACAGCTTGTCTATAATCTGCTATCATTGAGATATAATTCACGCATCAGAGTGAAAACATATACCGACGAATTGACGCCAGTTGATTCCCTCTACAGTGTATTTCAAGCTGCTGATTGGTATGAGCGAGAGATATGGGATATGTTTGGTGTATTCTTCTCGAATCATCCAGATCTTCGTAGGATTCTTACAGACTATGGCTTCGAAGGACATCCACTGAGGAAAGATTTTCCACTCAGTGGATATGTTGAGGTAATTATTCATTCAACAAACATTTGTATATCATTGTTTTTAACATAATATTCAATTGTTTAGATTTTAAAGAATCTAACAATAATTTTTGCCCTAAATTTTAATCATCAAATTTTATTAAAAGATCAATAATTTATGTTTCAGGTTCGCTACGACGACGAACATAAAAGAATAGTGATTGAACCATTAGAATTGACACAAGAATTTCGTAAATTTGAATTAGCCGCTCCTTGGGAACAGTTTCCTAACTTCCGGGATACTCCAGCAATTGCTGAACCTATTAAGGAAATACCAAAGGAAAAATAAGTGCTTTCATTTTGACTATAGTCACTCAGATCATAATTCGAACAAGCAAGTATAAATATATCGATAAAATGTAAAATAAATTATAAATGATATTCTCTCTTTTCTCTTGTGAACCATTTCTAAGTGCCCAATTCGGGCATTTGTTTTGGAAATATAGAGAATAATGTTACAATTATATTTATTTCAAAACACGATCTAGATTGCAACATAAATTATTTTCTCAAAAATTTCTAATCTTATGCTATTTTATATCGAGTAATTTCGACTTCACTCTTATTTATAAAATATAAATAAAATTATAATTATAAAAATATAATAAATATACACAAATTATAGTACGCGTGAATAAAAGACTTTAAGAATTTAAATAGGAAAAATGCTAATAAACTCTATTCTGAAATATTAGTTTTATTCTGTGTATTTGTATAGAAGTTATATAAACATAATATATTTTTTTATATATTACACATTTTTACAAACTACTTATGATCTACTCATAAGGCATTGTTTCCGGCGGATTTTTAAAGAGCCTGCAACGCGAGTCAAATTTCTTTTGAGTGCCGTAAGACGGCATTGACGCTAGAAAGGCGTAAACTCGCCGGACATATTCTGCTTACACGACCATACAAGTAGTTGTACTTCTTACGGATCCTTTCGATTCTCTTATTCTTAATTTAGAAAAAAAAGGGCAGCCTCTATTCGAAAGTGATTTTCTTCTCTAGTGACTAAGATCCCTAGTCTATAATTTTGAATGACAATAACAAAAATTGTTATATTATTGTGCAAGTTTTGTATAATGGTAAAAAAAAGCTGCGCAACGACAATATAACAATATCGTTACTGTCGTTAAAAAGTTATAGAATAGGAAGACGATGATTCCTTGTAAGTAGAACCCACTTTTGATCACTAGCATTAACATAGCATTTACATACGAGTTTTTAGGAGACTATGTCTATAGTGCGTGACGGTTTACTTTATTATAGGCCTATCGTAGACATTGGTATACGCGCTAAATTACCTCATTGCATTTTCGTTCCGAAACTAGCAGCTGTCACGACTGTTGTTTCTCTTAATAAGTACTCGAATAAAACTAGATTATAGTCTTCGTGCCGGTGGAAAAATTTTACTTTCAGAGAGAGGACAATTACTTTTTTCGGATGTAAGGCAAGAAATTTCTTTCAAGAAAGGACGCGTTTATGTGTTTCTCAAAAATTCTTATCTCAAAATATCTATATAAATAATCCGCTTTATAACGATGAACTACGATGTGTAAGATTGCATTGTGCGATATCTCATCGCCGATATAACATTTGACAATGGCGCATGTTTGGCGGTAAATGTGATTAGAGTCTAAATTACTAGCATAGAGTGAAGTCAATTCCGTGGGATGTAGCTTTTATATTTTAAAACAAATCGATATTTCGTCTCGTGTGATTTTCAAAAATCAATAATGTAATAGATATTTTTAATTGTTTTCATTCTTGAATATATAAAAAAAACTTTTATTTCAAAATTTTTACATTTCTATTGTATTAAGTATTATTCATTTTAAGTACTTTTTGCACTTCATCATAAGCACTAGTTTTAAATGCACTTTGTTAATCTTTGTCCTCTGCTCTCAATTTTAACAATTTTTCGTTTTAATATCAAAATAATATTGAATTTTAATAAAATTATCTTTATCTGCTTTGAAAAGATGAACGGTAAACTTATTATTAAACAAATTTATGATTTAATTTTCTCCAGATTATAAATCTGCACATGTAATGCATTTCGTTTCACATAATAAGAAAAACGTTCTAAATAATAGAATTACTTCACTCTGTACACACAATAATGAAAATTTTGCAAACGAATGTAACAGTATTTACAATAAATTATTTTCCTCATTCAAATTAATTAAATGTAATGACAGTATAGAACAAAACGTTTTTGTTTCGTTTTCCAAAATAAACGTTTTATACGAATTAATTACTTGTGTACAAACATCAACTAATTTCTGAAGACAACAGACAAAAAAATGCTTGATATTATGATAAGATTTTTTCCCCACATTTACCGCACCTTGGCGATAAATGATAATTATTACAATCAATAATTATTCTGCAATTAATTATCGTAGACAGTTCCGTGTGTAAGTCGGACTAAGCGAAACTTCGACACTTCCTTTCGTTATAACTCGCTCGGTCCGAAAACTTGTCAATGTAATACATGACACTCGTGCTAACATCACAGTTTAATATTATATTATAATATTCGATCACTCTCTCTCATTCTCTCTTTTTTACATACTTAAATATACGCTACTTACACGACTAAATGACCGCATAATTAAGCTCGTACGTGTCCCCGCACAATGTTGAGTCGCACGCGATTCGACGGTTTATTCATCTTCTTTTTCATAATTTTATATTTTATATTTAATTTTATATTTTAAAATTCGTAAACTTGGGATAATTATCTCGCTCGCGTGTATATGTTTACGATACACGATTATCCCAAAACTTAAATTCGAATATGTAAAATGAAAAGACTATGATTTTCAGATACTAACAAAGACAGACGTCTATACTTTATTTTGTTTATTTGGTCTATTATATTTTATCTATCCTGACGGGCTTTTCCAACGTTGCCTGTCTCTTCCGGATGAACGGCACCATGATCCAAAGAGATGAGCCGAACACTAGAATGATACCTAGTATACTGAAGATTGGTCCGTAGCTACCGATCTGCTCGAACACTATACCACAAATTGGCGGTCCCACCAATTGAATGACACCGTTGACGAACAACGAGATGCCATAGGACGAGGTGAGTTTCTCTGTGCCCAGCATATCAGCCATGATTACGGCCGTGATGCCGACGTAGATGCCGGACGCGAGACCAAAGAAGGAGCAATAAACAGACAGCATGGTATACGTGTTGGAAGTGGGCATGATGGCCAAAGAGATCCCGGAGGCGAGCAGACCGCCAACGAAGTACCAATGTTTGGGCATGATCTTGATGTCGGAGAGAGCGGAGCCGCCGATACGACCTACCAAGTCGAGCATGGAGACGATCGACAGTAACAACGATGCGTCCCAATTGTCGAAACCTAGAGAAATAGCATAGGCTGGCAACAAAATGATGAAATTAGTATAGCTGATGGCATTGGTGGAATTGGAGATGAGGATGACGAGATAGATGGGATCTTTGAGCAAGCTGAAATCGAAGAATTTATTCTGTTGATCCTTCTCGTCGTGCTCGCGTCGCTTCTGCTCGCTAATCGACTTCCTGGTAAACGTGCTGGAGATAGCGTTCAATGTCAACGTGGACGCACGTTCCGGGTGCAGAACCGACAGTGTACTACCGTGATACGGCGTACTGACGTAATTGAAAGACGACGTGCTAGGTGAGTGCAGCGGTGACCTCGGCGTCCTGACATATTTGGCGGATTCGACCATGACACCACCGCGCTCTGGCACAGCGTGCAATGTCGGCGTGCTGTGCATCTGTCCACTGATCTCGCGTCCGGTGGGCATACTGATCTTTCGCGTGCGACTTTGCACTGGTGTGTTCTTATAATATTCCAAGGCAACGCTCGATGCGCTCTTCGGCACAATCGGTGCGGCCTTTTCATTCGTCGAGTTGCTCAATGATGCCAGCTGACTGTTGCTCTTTTCTGTCGCTTGCTCAGGACTGCTAGTAACAGTCACCGACATAGTCTCTCCATTATCATGCGCCTCGCTATCGTCTGGAGGCCGAGCTGGCACTAAGTGCCATTCTACCGGGTGGTACAGGAGCGCACTCGCCCAGACATTTAGCGTGACAGCACCCATTATTAATACTGCTCCTCTGTAAATAGATACACACAGACCTTGATCAACTTTACTTATTATTATTATTATCATTGAAAAGAGATTGACAATTAACAATAGAGCCAAATAGAATGATTGCAATTACTATAATATATATGTATATTAAGGGGGTTGCACTGAAAGTCGCTATTTTTTTTTGTTTTTTAGCATTTATTTCAATAACAAAATGTGTGAATACTTCAAAGTATTTACTCTCGGAAGCTATGACTTTTTCCCACTTTTCTAGCAGAAGTTGAATTCCACGACGAAAGAACAGTTTTCGATTTCGCCATAATTAGAAGTATGTATCTTCTAGATCGTGTTCCATCGATTGGAAAGACGTAATCACTTGGTGCCAAATCCAGAGAATGCGGGAGAACCTCCCATCAGTGTTTGTTTCATGGCTACAGCAATATGGCCGAGCGTTATATTATAGAGAAGAATCACATTTCGACGATTTGATGCAATTAATGATCGTTTTTGTATCAAATTATCATTCAAACTCTAATTGTTGTCGATAACCAGGGTTGCCATAGAAAATGAATTTAAAAATTCCTTGACTTTTTCAGGTTTTCCAGATGAAAATGGAAAATTTTCCATTATTAATATAGAATATGTAAATTTGAACATTTAGACTCAAGAATTGTAGGAAAAGCTAGTCTTTATTATTAAAAACAACACAAAAAAAGCTTAATAGCATAGTAAAATTTTGGGTGCAAATTCAAGCCAGCAAAAAATATTAGTTTTGGAAAAAAAGAATGCAGTTACGACGAAGAAGAAAGATCAAATAAAAATACTGAATAAAATATAAATTTTAATTATTTTGTTAAACTCGTTTAATGTATTTAACTATAAACGTCAGTTATATTCAAAAATTTATAACAATTATTTGGAATAGGAGCAGTTTAAGAAAGCAAATTGTGAGCAAATTTTGAAATTCCACACTTTTTTACATTTTTCTCTGATTTTCCGTTTTTCCATGACCAATTTTAATTTCCCTCTTTTCCCGGTTTTCCAAGTCTGCGGCAATTTTGATAACGTTCAGCGGTTGTTATGTTCGGTTTCATAATACACGACACCCTCACCAAATATTGAACATTACTTTGTGACTGAATATTTCGCTTTGGAGTTAATGTTGCTTGGTTAGCCAGAATCAACTCAAGAATGATTTTTTGCGTTTCGGATTGTCAAAATAGATCTTTTCATCGCCTATCACGATACGTCACAAGAAATTCTTCTTTTTATGCTTTGCAAGCAAAGAAATCGAAATGTTTAAACGATTGGCAATAGCATTTTCAGCAATTCATGTGGTAGGCATTTCCCTTCTTTTTGAATCCTTCCCATAGCTCGTAAATGTCGTGAAATAGTTCATTTATCGACTTTGAGCCAATTCTTGGAGTATTTGAGCAGGACTTTCTTCCAATAGAGCTTGTTTGCAGTTGTTCATTTTCGAATTTTTTCGATTGACTTGGCCGTTGTTTGTCGTGAATCTCACAATCACCACTATTGAATCGTCGAAACTAAGAATGCACCGGATATCCGAAAAGTATCCAATATCCGATATTATCCGGCACTTTTTTACTATCCGACCGGATAGTTGGATATCATTAGTATCCGAGAATATATCCAGTTGAAATTTTACATCATTAAATTGATTTTTTTATTATATAAATGTTTTATAAATAAGTATGGATATTCATAATGCTATAATATCTTAGATATTGTTACAAAATTACAATTTTTTCTTTTATTGATACAATCCTTTTCGCTCCCTTTTTCCTTTTTTTATTCAGCCCTTTTTTTTAGACATTGTCCCGGAATTCGGTCGGATATCCGATTTGAAAAATTGTCTTTCCGGATATTCGATATACGATATTCGATATTTTTACGATCCGGCACATCCTTAGTCGAAAGTCGAAACCAATCTCTACATACTGTTCCGGATGGAACAGATTCATCATAAATTTCCGCAAGCAATCGATGAGTTACAGATGCACTTTTTTTCAAATCAAAGTAGAAGTACACATCGGAAAAACAACTTATCGCGTTCCATTTTAATTCAATTATAGAACAGCATATGTGTAAATAAAGGATGGCATTTGTTGACTATTTTAGTGGGAAATGTTCACACTTTTCAAAATGACATAAGTAATAATGTTCTGATCACAGCATACGCAGCTAGAGCCATCTAGACATGAACAGTGGCTTTCAATGCAACTCTCCTAATACGTGCATAGTAACCGATCGAAAAATTATAAATATAGGGTTGTTTTCATAGTAATTTTATTTGTTAGATAGCGTTTTATCAGTTTTCGATAAATCTGAGATTAACTTATATTTATCCTGTATATTTATCCTCTTCTCTCTCCTATTATTCTTTATTATTGCACATAAGAAGCCATTGTTACAATTTAACATCTGATGAGCGCTTAGATAAAACAAATCAAATTCTAATTAATAATTTAATTATAATGTTTTAATACGTTTGAAAACTGCTGTCTTTTAAATTCGTTTTTTTCTTTTTATTTTGATGTGATATTTTCAATTTTGAATGATAAATTTATTATAAAAAAGCAAATATTTAGGAAATATTAATTTCATTCAGGTAATAAAAACGTTTTAATTATTTGTCAAACAGTGCATCGACTTACCTGTAACCATATTCTCGTAAAAGAAAACCCAGAACGGGCGGAAGAAATATTGAACCTAACGCACTGCCAGATATGCAAAGCCCGTTGGCAAGTCCTCGAAACCGTACAAAATAAGATGTCACAATATATACAGTTGGAGGAAATGCTAATCCAGCACCCGTACCTACGAATACACCATAACTGGAAACAAAGGAAATTGCATAAGAAATATTTCTGTGTATTATAATATTTATAATATAATCGGAGGCGTTACAAGGCACTAAGCAGATATCGCTCCAGCGTAAAGCGCAAAATTTAGAGGGGCGCAAAACTTTAATAGGCAGCGCTACTCTTGTAAATATAAAGCTCTGCCTTACTTGATATTTTAAATGAATTAGCTAAAATTGATTTTCTGGAGATCTTTTCAAATTTAGCAATAGCGTTATGAATCTTATTAACTGTGTCAATATCTGTGGCAATTACAGAGGCATCTTTTTCAAAATTAAAAATAATAAAGAATTATCTGAGGAATACAATGACGCACGGTAATGCTATTTAGCTATAATATTAATTAAAAAGGAATTGGCGAACAGTCTTGATTACGCAACAATTGAAGACGTAATCAGAATATTTTCAAAAGCTAAAGCGAGAAAATGTAATAATATATTGCATTAAACGTCAAATATATTATTACAAGAGAAAATATGAAATTTATTATATTCGTATTCTTATATTATGCAAATTGATGAAAATTTCTTTTTTTTAATTGTTAGTTCGTTGCCGTTAGTGAGGGATTGGTGCTTCAGAGATTTAGCAATTCTTGATGGGACGTAAAAGTAAATTCCAGCGTAGGGCGCCAAAGATCGAACGAAACGCCTCCGATAATAAATATATAATAATAATATTACGCAACGAATATTTCGAACTCAAAAAATCACACAGCTTCAATAAAGCCAATAAATTGAATTTTGCACTTCTTTGTATTTTCTTCATACATTTGAATACTTTTCTTTTCTATATCGTCATTTTTATTAATAGATTCATCTGAATATTTACAATTTGCCTTTGTTAATTTTATAATTTTTCTTCCTGTAATTTTATTGGAAAAATTTTTACAGTAATTTTATCTCATTAAGGTAAAACTAAATACAACGAGAAAATCATTTTAATAAATCTTGTTTTTACTGAAATCTAGAATTTCGATTTTTTAAATAAAGATATGTTTGTGTTTGTATGATACAGGTTACTATTTTATGAAGATATTCGTTGCACAAGATAATTACCAGCTAATTTATCTCTATTTTATGAAAAGTAAAAATATATTACCTAACGCATAGAAAGGCCACAGAGTTCGCAAAATAACTCAACATCATCCCCGCCGCGGCAAACGTCCCTCCTATTAAAGTTACCGTACGATAGGAATACTTGACCGAAAGTACACTAGAAAGTGGGCCTGGAACAATAAAATGTCATTGAAAATATAATAAATACAAGTAACAACAGCGATGTTTACTTAGAAATTGTTCATACAGTATTTATATTAAATTCTGATAGATGATTATGATGGAAATTTATCACGATTATCGGTTTCGTTCTTGTGAAAAGGTATTGTGTGCAGTCGGTGTGATCCAGATTCTCGTCAAACACACAATATGCGTAAAGATAAAACAAAGTAATCCCTAACTATATTTGCTCGAGAATTCATCAGCGTGATCAATAATTTACCCGAGGAAAAACGCGTAAACATCACGCAGACAATATACAATTAAATACGCAAATATTTCCCGGAATTTACCATTTAGCATGCATTACCTTTTTCCTCTGCAAGAATGTAATGTATATTGCTCGCCGCGTGCATCATGACGTAATGTGAAAGTTAATATAATGGTTGCCAATAACTCTAGACTTCTCTCTCCTTTCATTATAAAAATCATAAAAATATCATGAAACTGTAATCAAATAACGTCAATACGGCTTTGACGTTTTGACGTTTCGATAAAGCACGATAAGCAGAGATAAGATACGCCTAAATATTTAATTGCCAATTACGTAAATGCGAAACTGGGACAAGTTACGGAAAAACAGAACCCTCGATCTAAGAGAGATGTCTAAAAAAAAAAAACGTAGACCCGCGACCTCGAAATACTCGACGACGCGCAGCGTTTCTTACCCAGCGAACTGTATAGGAAGTAACAAAGCGACGGTATCCATGCAGCTGCCGCTGGTGATGCATCAAATACGTCAAGGAATTCGACGAACAATACCCCGAAAGACTTGATAGTGCCGGGGATGAGAAGGTTGACCATGACGGCAGCCAGGAGTATCAGCCATCCCCAGCCTCCGTCCGGTGGGACTAACTCCTCCTCTTTCTTCTCATTGTTCTCTGTAATAGAGATAGAGATCTTTCAGAATCTCATTATCAATTCCTTTAAAAATCTTTATATATCGCTTATAATAATACAAATCATTGTTATCCTTTAAATATTCTTTTTTTTTCCTCTTTTTTTCGTCAAGAAATTTTCTTGTTAAAAAAATCGATACTCCAAAGTTCATTCGATTGCCAATAGTTTATAATTTCTGATTTCTGCGGACTTTGTACCTTTTCAACGTTATATCGAATTAAACAAATACAAAAAGTAAAATAAATAATTCTTTAAAAGAAATAAGTAAAAAAAAGGATCAATACGAGATTTGCCTAATAATAGAGAGTTATTCTCGGAGTTTTTGTAATACTGTTTATCCAGATACAGTAAACGCTAAAGTCACGTTATCTTCTTCTTAACAATTAATTGAGAAAAGGATAATGTAACTTTAACGTCCACCGTATCTGGATCCACGTTATTACAAAAACTCTATTAATTGTATGTAAATTCTAAATATATCTTTCAATTATATAAACTGCGTGCTGCTTATTGTCAAACTTGAAAAGTAATCACAAATTGAAGCTAGAATAATATTACGAATTAAATTGGTTGATTTTTTAAATTATTCTTTTTTAGAAAGGTTTCGCAATTGCTTCATGAAACATGTTTATCAAATATCATTTTATTTAAGAAGTAATATGAAGTAAGATCAATATTTTTATGATTCTTTAAAGCCTTGCATCACTTTGAAATCATGAAAAAATCAAAAATTTTTTTCGCTTAAATGATAGTTTATATATGTGAAAATATAGCTCTACTAGATGAAATGAAAAATTCAAAGCTTACAAAGTTACTAGTTGATTCTTTGAAGCTTGTCCCTACATAAAAAAAAAAATTTTTCTCAAAAGAACATTTTTCAATCAAATTACATCACAACTTCTAGAATTTTTCTTCGATTTACTTGAAATTTGCAGAGAATCTTATTAATTATCTTTGTTAATTTTCTAAAAAAAAATACGTAGCGATTTTTCGCAATTAATTAAAAATTATATTGTAATATTAACATTTTGTGTAAAATTTTTTGATTAAAAATAATACTTTTTCCAAATGTTTCATAAAGAAGCATATTTCTGAAAACCTCTATATACTTCTTTAGTAAATATCATGTAGAAAATAAAAATTATTGGCCAAACCGTTTCGTGATAATCTTATACACTGATTAGGCGGTCGTTAAAAACCATTGCAGCCTATTTAAATTGAATGCAGTGCTGTCAAAAAAAAAATTTATATACACTTTAAAACATGTATAATATCTCTTTATAAATTTTTAATTTACTTTATCCTCTTTGTAGAAAAAATTTCCCAAAAATAGCCTTTGTTTAAAGGGTAAACTATTAAATCTATCAAATTTAACCTAATGTGAGTCGCCATTGCGCTTATTAAATATATCGTTATTTTATAACGACAATTAAATTTGACACCATATAGATTTAACAGTGTGCAAAGTGTTCTTAAAAAGAAACCAATAAAAAAAAAATTGGAATTTCTTTTACTTCCGACAATCTGTCTATTACGCGAATAATCGCCCAATATGTACTCAGTAAACAAAATATAGAATTAGCGCGGTTTATATATTATTAATCTTGTATAATCGGTTCGCGGGAAGACTGAGCAAACGACAACAATTAGACCGTCAAACAACAAGTAGATAATAACAAATATTCCCCCGACGTATACTCTGCGACAAGAACGCGTCCCGGTGATAACGAGATGAAAATTGGTATGCTAATGAATGCTAACTCCCTCATATTTATCATTATTGATTTTATGAGCGGAGCCGGCTAAACTTATCTGATATAAAAGAGACATTTGCACGAGCGTTAAAATCGCAAACACGGTAAATCGTACAAAGTATGCTACGATATGAATAAAAGTCGCGCGATTCATTGCAGAAGGAAGGAAAGACAATAGTTGCTTTCCACTTACACACAAGTGAAACTGAGTCTGAAGTGAGTTGAGTATTTTATACCCAGATTAATGACGTCAACTACTTGCTTACTTTGGTAAAGTTATCACATGTCAGTTATCACAGATTCATAACCTCACTTTGAAGTGAGTTTACGAGACTCACTAAGGCACACGGTCTCGATCTTGTGCAAACTGTGAGTAAAACTCAGTTGAATCTTACTTGTCAACATGCAAAAGGAACGCGCATTCAACTGAGTTGTGACGTCACAAGTGAGAATTACCAGAGAATCAGTGTAAATGGAAAGTAACTAAAGTAGGCAATCTCCACATATGATTGTACGTATTGTACGGTATACGTCTAGACAAAGGCAAGTTGTAATTTCTCCTGTCGCCGACAAAGAGCAACATTCATTGGTATACGACATTGTAATACCAGCCGTTTCACACGCGGAAGTCATTTCCGTTGCGAAGTGCAATCTCATTTGATTTTTATGCACGGACAATAGATGAATTAAAAAGGGTCGCACGACGCTTGAACAGGAATTCAATTTACGTAAACGAATTTCTTTTATATCTTTGTAATTTTTAACATGATTTTCTTTTCTTTCTTCGCAACAAAAATTTCTCTTAATTTGTTTAAAACTTAAATAAACAAAAGATTCTTTTACGGAAGGAAACACCGATACATAGATTATTTCATTTGTTTAAAATTAATACATACAATAATCAAATATAATGCCTAAACAATTTTCTTTTCATTTGTCAGATATTCAAAATGTCGGTACATTGGAAAAATCGAGGGAAAAATAAAACAAAACGGGAAGAAATTCTAAATTTTTTTAAATTCATTTAATATTGTAGCTAATTGTAGCTCTTGTGCACAAAAGAATTTCTTTTAATTTTTTTTTATAATATAACATCGTTATTAAAAGATCGTTTTCTTGACAGGGGGAAACGCCGAAATAAATTATTTGCTTTATTTAAAACTTACATATTTAGTACACAAAATTAAATATGATTTCTTAAAAAAATATCTAATTCTTTTATTACTAAATCAGATATTTGAAATATCGACATCGAGAAAATAGAAGAAACGAAAAAAATTTTCAATTTTTAAAATTAATTTACTGTCTATAGCAAATTTGGTCTTGCACAAATCTCTAAGTAAACTTATTTACACGTTTTAATACCCGGAAGGAATGATATATTACGAAAGAAACTATAATGCTTTCAAACGTATAAATCATAATGTTATATATGTATGTATATTCATATCACAGACTGAACATTATCGTTATATTAACAAACTATAAAAGATTTTATAGTTTGACATCAACGCTGGTAAGTATATGACACGACGTTGTGATTACATCCGTTTTACTGACTCTCATTTTATCTCTTGGCTCTTACGCCAATTTTTTATCCAATCTTTCTATTTATAAAAGATCTATCTATATCAGTCGATCCCAAATGTTATATGATCCCAAAGATGCAGTATGTAGTAGCTTAAAAATGGGGAAAGAAAATGCGAGCAAGTAAAACTATTCTTATTAGTGTAGAAAGTTATAAGTGCAGACGCAATAAAAAATCAAAAAGTAATGATAACATAACAGCGAGATAATTTGGTGATGCAGTCATATTGTGATAAGAGAAGAAATAAAAATGTGAACCGTGTCAAGCACTATGAATTGTGTCATTTCTGATACGTAGGCATTTTAGATTCAACAATTTATATTTTGACCTACAATTTTATTCATATATATTATATGTATGTCTGTGTATAATGTACTATAATTTTTGTATATAATATTTTTGCTAACTTAAAAAATACGATCTGTTTTTAATACATTAAAGTTTATTAGTTGCATTATGATTTAGTTACAATAAAATAAAAAATATAATATAATTATAATTACATAATTCAGTTAGAATTTAAAAAATAAAATGATACACATTAATATAAAATGTTACATTACATACGTATAATACTTCATAAAATAAAACGCAAATATCTAAAAAAACAGAAAAGATAATACCTAATCGAGTATATACTTTACTTGTTAGAAGAATTATAAAAAACACGCAATGTCCAAGTGGAACAACATAACATGCCTGTGAACTGTGCTGAGGTTATCAGTGATACCAGTTGGCATTAGTAAAAATCATTACGTATCCAAAAGATAAAAGAGACATAAGAATTGTTCGAACGCGACTGTCCCTGAGGCTTCCTCGTGATTCCCATAATTGCGACGTCATTTGCAAATATCAACAACACGGCAAATTTTCTCCTGCGAGTTTCAGTACATATTTACATACTAGTATGTTAGAAATACCAACAGACATTTCGTATGAATTTTAAATAG